CATATAATAGACTTATTCTTAATAGGATAAGATAAAGCCGGATTGTTTTTTAACCCACTGTGAGCGTGAGACTTTTACAACAGCTTTGGCTCTTAGAATAAACTTGGATATCTGGACAAAATGAATGAGGCGTACCAACAGGTGGACCTAATTGGTACGATGGGCCATTGTTCATACACTATAACGTTAAAGCTCAAACAGCTTGCTGGTGTGGCGTTACAAAATATTATATTCCTCACTATCTTAAGCTGATGGTGACGAGTAAATCTTAAATTATATTTGAATCTTGGCACAAACTGTCAACCATATTAACTGGAGATGGGGCCCAAAGTCGACAAAACTATCATGTGTAATTTAGTAATGCTTCTCGGATAAAACTTGTGGTGGAGTTACTGAAGATGTGCATCATATGATGAACAAAAGCTCAGCCTGTTTTCACTCGAAACGAGGGGGGAGGTCTCGTAGACCCGCAAATTGAGCGTCGTATAAACGCCAAACGTGATTCAGCCGTCATGTGCTGGTGAGATCAACCTAAGAATCCCTTCTTCATGCAATTTCATACGAAATGAAGGTCTCCCCAACAATGTTATCTAAGGAGATTTATCAAAATCCAGTTACTCTTCGTATTTAACAACTTGGTTGTGTTGCCAAGGCTACCTAGATGAACGGTTTCCTCTGCTCAGACTACCCTGACTAAAACAACTAGGCAGGTCAGGATGAAATCGATTGAAATTCACAACTGCCATAGCATACCGAATATTGATATCTAAAATTATCACTGCTGAATATGACATGTTTGTGCCCCTGTCACACAAGGGCACCCGTGGCAATGTGGCGTAATGGTTAAGGCGTCGAGATTACACGCTGCACTGTCATGGCTCGACTCCCGCTGGGGGTGTTGATAAGACCGATGCGAGACTGAAACTGTAGTCAACCTTAGATTAGAACACCTTTTGGGAAAGAGAAGCCATATGAAATTCAACGAAAACGTAAGGTCTACTCATATCATTGTGGGAAAACTCACCTACCAGTCCTTAAGCGTAATAGGGTAAATGCATATCATAAATTATGCAAAGGCCTAAAAGTTCCATTAAATTTCGTCTCGCCAGGCATCTCAAAAGCCCATTCTAATTCGGAGAAGGGTGTATTTTCGGTAAAAACATGATCCCTTCAAATTTCCCATCAAAGCATAGCCCAGATATACGAAGCAATTAGATCATTTTCATGTAGATTACAGGGCTTGATTGATCAGGCTCATCATAAACTGAGGAAGGATTTATTTCTTGTCAAAGTAGGTTATGAGGCATTAAATTTTATCATCCTGGCCCTGTCAACAGCCAATTCTCATTACGAGAAGAAAGCCTTTTGCATCTATACTTGAGCTCAGGAAGTTAGCCTCCATAGCCATAATAACTGGACCCGAACCGAATGATTCACAATCTGGCAAAGTGAGCTTCTAATTGAGTAGGATTTCGGAACTATCAGTAGAGATTTTAAAAACACCTTAGTCACCCTAACACATTCATTTAAATGAAGACTTATATTAAACTTATAAAACGAAATCGGTATGATTGGGTGATAGTGTAGCCATTTCGGCAGAACGTTAGCCGAGGGATTGATTTCACTCGTCTCTTTGACGAGTTCGTAGCTTGGTGCGACGAATGGCAAAACTTACTGATGATGCCGACTACGATGCTGGCGAAACGTTTGAGAATGTATCAAGTCCACT